GAGCACTGAGCAGCCTGCACTCTGGCAGCTGAAGGGTGAGCTGTGAGTCCTGAAGGGTTGAGACTGCAACATTCCCCTCTTAAAGAGGTGGGACCACATCATCCTCTTTTCGAATGGGTGAGGTCTCAGCATCCTCTTCCTGAAAGGATGAGACTGTAGCATCCTCTTCTTGTGGGGTGGGACCACAGCATCTTACAGCCTACTGGACTTGCCTAAAGGCAGAGATAGGTCAGTCAGCACCCCTAGACTGAAGATGTATCCAGTCTTTTGGTTTTTCTGGTCAGCACCCGACCAAGGAGAAAATTGTCTCGGGTTACATGTTTAGATTTCAAGGATGTCCAATTCACAGCCTGCAGGTTTTGAGAACATACATATGTTTATTTTGTGTGACACTGAGACATGGTGTTGTCATTGACAGAGTTCATACTTGTGTAGTGCACTGTCAAGCTTCAAAAAAAAAATTGTGTGATGTCTTCAGTAAGTTTAAAACTGTGTAGGTCTGCATTCATAGCTTTCCTGGGCTGCATATAGCCTGCGGACAGGCTGTAGCCTGGATGTCCCTGCCAGCTTTCCGTAACTAGTCTGTGTGTTGGGAAAGAAGATAAACACGGGCAGGATCTCAGTGTGGGGGAGCATCGAGGGATGATGTGGGCCTGGACTTCCAGGTGGTAAGGCTGGTATGCAGAAGGCAGAGGGCAGGGCTGCACACGTGCTCACACAGGTGAGTCCTGGCTTATGCCCCAGCTGAAGAAAGTCTTGGCTTTTCCCAGCCATGTAGGTCCCCCAAAGCTGCAGTACAAGGCTGGATATTTCCTGGGCACTGAGAAAAACAGTGAGAGCCAAGGGTGCTTGTGTCCACTGCGAGTGATTTGTTCTGTGGTGGAGCTGAGAGCCCACGTCAAGGTGCGTAAACCTTCCAGAAACTGACGAGCTGGTAGAGTTGGGCACTTTGACCATGCAGGCTTCAGGGTGTGGGCCTCTTATGCCAGCACAAGTGTCTTCTCTACGTGTCTCCTGATGTTCTTGGCCCAAGAGTCACGCTCTGGAATCAGTCGGTGACAGACACAGCCATATGGCCGTGGAGCTTCAAGACGCTCAGCTATGGGGTCTTGTGTCTTTGCCCCACCCAGGGTGCTTCACATTCCTAGACACGCCCCAGCCCAGGGAATACAAGCATGCCTGTTTCCTATGCAGGAGGCTAACTCTGTTGGGAATTACTAAAGCAACGTGCGCATGAAGGACATCCCTATGTTGCAGCAGGGAGGTGATGATGTGGAGGCTGTGCTTGCTGTTGAGGAATATGAATTCTGAACCACGCTTGTTTGTCAGCCAATCAGTCTCACTACATTCCTAGGAGGAGGAGAGCTTTGGCTTCCCATCTCATGAGGAAACAGAGGTACAGAGATGTTGAGTAACTTCCCCAAGAACACACAGCTCCAAAATATGGAGCCAGATCCTTGTCCAGATCTGTGTGACTCAGAACCAAAGGCACAATTTGATTCTGTTAAGTGTAGTGTGAGGAGGAGCTTCTTTCTGTGGCCCACACTGCCCTAAGTGCATTGCTCTGGGGTCTGCACCCCACTCCGGAGCCCTCAGTATCTACTTTTTTGTTGTTGTTGTTGTTTTTGAGACAGGGTTTCTCTGTGTAGTTTTGGTGCCTGTCCTGGAACTCACTCTGTAGACCAGGCTGGCCTTGAACTCACCGAGCTCCGCCTGGCTCTGCCTCCCGAGTGCTGGGATCTAAGGTGTGCACTACCCCCGCCCAGCTCAGTATCTACCCTTTAACACCTGCCCTTCCTATAGGCATTTCATCAAGGACTGCCTAATTTTTTTCTCTCCATTTGGGGTCAGATGACCAATTTGTTCGGCTTTGGGGTTCAAGGTCTTGTTCACAATTGTTCAACTCTGCCCCTGAAGTGCAAAAGCAGCCATAGAAAACCTGTGAATGGATGGCCATAGATACATTCTAATAAAATTTTATTGATAAACACAGTGCAGGCAGACTTTAGCCCATGAGTCACGGTCTGCTGACTTCTGGGTCCGTACTTGGGGAGAAGGATAATGATCCCATTTGGAGGTATCGAAGTCCTCTCCCAGGCACTCACCTCTAGGGACTCTGTATTTGTCCTAGGAACAGGGATATTCTCTCTGTGGTCCACACTGCCTGTGTGCACTTGCTCAGGCAGCCTTGGCTTTGGAGCTGAGATCTGCTAACAGGAGCCTTTTCAGACCACAAGAATGGGAACCTGTTTTCAAAAGGAGCCAGCTCCATTACTTTTGGGTGGAAAGGTGTGGTGTGTGTCCTCGGGTGGGGGAGTCCCCTTCCTTCTCTAACACTCACTCCCCTCCTCTGTAAACCGGGGTGCCGGCCGCTCTAGGAGCTGCACCTTCCTGGGAAGCCATGGACAGAGGTGCTGATCCAGCCTGCCTGCATGGTCTTGCCCCATTGGAGAAGCACCCTGACATGGGCCGACAATGTTTTCGTGCTTCGGTCATTCTGAATGCATAACCATGATGTCAGTGGCTTCAGGTAACCCACCAAGATTATTCAGGGAGAAGATCCATATTCCAAACACCTAGACCCACCGGTGTTTGTCTGGATTTTGGAATATTTGCACATAGGCAATCATCTGTCTTGGGGGTGGGACCTGAGTCTAACCATGAAATTCATACGTGCCACATGTACACTATGCACATGCAGCCCAAAGGGAATTGTACACAGGGTTTTTAGTGCTGTTGGGTTTTGGCTGACATATCACACGAGGTCGGGTGTGGCACTTTCCAATTGGGGAATCACGTCAACACACAAAAACTTTCTAACTTGGGAGCACTTGAAATGCTGGATTTCCTCATCAGGTCTGCTCAGCCTATACTTTGTACTCTACCCAGCCAGGCTGGAGCCTTTGGGTCTGGCTATGAGATTCCCTCTCATTTCATCTCCGTCTTCTCTGGGGCTGATGGTTTGTTTCATTGTGTTTGTTTGGCCTTTATTGATTTTTGCCTCTTTTATGATTTGACCATAGTCTATTTTTAGTCTTGTGGGTGATTTTAACCTTAAGGCATCTCACCACTATTTCGCTTCTTCTTCTCTTTACCCAGGCAAACAGAAGCAAATAGAAAATCCCCTTTCATAAAAATAAGGAATCTGGCTGGGCAGTGGTGGCATATGCCTTTAATTCCAGCACTTGGGAGGCAGAGCCAGGCGGATCTCTGTGAGATCGAGAGTAGCCTGGTCTACAGAGCAAGATCCAGGACAGGCACCAAAACTACACAGAGAAATCCTGTCTCGAAAAACCAAAAAAAAAAAAAAAAAAAAAAGGAATCTGATCATATTGGCTTTTCTTTCTCTGTTGTCCTCTGTTTGTTACTGTTTTTATTTAGGGATTAGATGTTCCAGTTTGGATTTCTGAAAACACTTTTTGCAAGAATCTTTTTTTTTTTTGTCTATTGTAGCTTGCTTTTGTGCCAGTGGGCATACTAATGAACTGGATTAGTTGCTCTTAAATTTGGCTGCCATTCAGAACCCCCCGAGGGCCTGTTCCACCACTGCTGAGTGCTTCCCAAGGGCCCGAGAACTTGCATTTCATCCAGGTTTTCAGGAGCTGCTGTGCCCTGGGGTTGCCACTCTGTGAACCCCTCAGGCCTCCCAGTCACTTCTCTTCCATGGCTGCTGGGGACTTCACTAGCAAGCTTCTGTTCTCTGTACCAAGGTCTTGCTACTCCTGCCTCCCAGGGGAGATCTCTTTCCCAGGTTGAGATCTTGACTTCTGGAGTGAGTTTTGGAAGTGTTTCTGAAAGGTAGAAAAGCGATGTGTGTGTGTGTGTGTGTGTGTGTGTGTGTGTGTGTGTGTGTGTGTGTGTGTGTGTTTGTCAGCCCCCATCCTGGGTATTCCCTGGCAAATGGCAGCCAGGCAGAGAATCTTGTCTCACTGTTTATCCCCGCTGGGTTTCTAGAGAAGCACCAAGACTCATCTCTTGTCAGAAACAGTCTCCACTCTTCAGACTTAAGGCTAGTGAAAGAAACCTAGATTTCATTTTTTTTTTTTAATATTCCTTCTGCTTGAAGTCAGTTTGTCTCTTCATTCTGGTGTCCACAGAGCCCAGTGGGGTGCCTGGCATGTGCTCACAGCCACCACCTCTTCCTGGGCACGCCTATGTACCTGGCACTTTTTGAACCGTGCTGGCTTCCAGACAGCATGGGAATTCTCATTGTCCCATGTAAAGATGAAGGAACTGAAGCCCTGGGGAGATATGGTGATTAGATATAGTGATTGGTACTGGCTGGGCTATGCAAACGAGGTCTGGCATCTTCTGGGCACCCGTGTGTTCTTTGGTGTCAGAGTAGCAGGCACTGAGGCATTTGCTGGGTGAAGGATGAAGGAGAAAGTGACGAGATAAATACAGCATCTGCTGAAGGAAAGAGGCCTTCAGTGCCTGGGGAAGCTGGAGGTAAGGGCGAGGATGAGGTAACTTGGGGTTGTACCGAGCCCTAGTTAATTCGGGTAATGGACCCTGAGCAAGGCTATGGAAGAAAGACATGCTGTGCCTGGTTGGTTCCTTGTCTTTCTCTCGTGATCCAGTCTGTGGTACCTGAGATGGCTGTTGCGGGAACAGCCATGGCCACTGCAGCAGGCAGGTCTGGGATGGTCCCAGCGTGACCCCTTGTTCTTCTTTCCTCCCGACCCACCCTGCAGCTTCTGCCTTCATCATCGCCATGCTCTTGGCCAGCCTCAACAGCTGCTGCAACCCTTGGATCTACATGCTCTTCACGGGCCACCTCTTCCACGAACTTGTGCAACGCTTCCTCTGCTGCTCTGCCCGTTACCTGAAGGGCAGCCGGCCTGGAGAGACAAGCGTCAGCAAGAAGAGCAACTCATCTACCTTTGTCCTGAGTCGCCGCAGCTCCAGCCAGAGGAGCTGCTCTCAACCATCTTCAGCGTGAGCCCACCACGCCAGCCAGCGGCAGGGGTTATGCGGTCTCCGGTCTGCCCCCTGGTGGCCGTGCATGGAGCTGTATAAGGTGCCTATTGGTGTGCGTCCTTCTATTCCTTGAGGTGGCTAGAGCGTGGGGCATATTCTGTCTTGGGGTTGGGGAAATGTCTCTATGGGAGATGACAGAGTCACTCAGCCATCAGAGGGTTGCCTGGGCTCCCACCTGTGATTCTATTACCCCAACCGGAATGCTCCTGGGTGGTGGGTGGGCTCTCCTGAACCTGGCTTTCATTCCATTATTATTACTTTTTTTTTTTTTTAACTCGTTTATCCTGGGATCTTGTGAAAGGCAGTAAGCCACGGATTGGTGACCAGTGGGCTGGGACAAGGAATGGGAAATGAGGCCTCAGATGCAGAGTGGTGCTGATTTCCTCATGACCCAAGTTGTGTGGACAGATCTTAGCATCCTCAGGGACCAGTTTGTCGCAGGAAAACACCGGGAAGTGGAGACTGAACTGGGAGGCCACCTGGCTCAGGAAGGCAATGAGAACATGGGCTGAAATGCTGAAGAAGCTGATGCTTGATAAACATTTGGGAAAAAAAAATAAATGAGAGCCCTCCAAGACAGACAGGACTGGGGAGAACTGTTTGTACATGACACTGACCCATTCATTTGAGACCCTAAGGAACACACATGCAGGTAGCCCGTCCCCTCCCCCAACTCTGGAGCTGACAGATGAATAGCAAGGTTGCAGAGTGCCTGATCAATGTAGAAAACTCTTTCATATTTCCTTAGACTTCTGGTGAACAATGGGAAAGTTAACTTAAGAGATTCCATCCTTAAATGTGCCAGAGTGAATAAGGGAGAGCCAGGGTTAACAGAGGAAATGTAAGACTTGTGCCCCAAAAGCTGCAAATACCATGGAAGGAAATTAAAGGAGACGAAATAAATGGGGACACCTCATGCTGATGGATCAGAGATGTAATATTGTTGGACAGATTTGATGTAATCCTCATCAAAATCCTAGCTGGCTTCTGCAAAAATTGATAAACTGATCCAAAATTCCTAAGGAAATGGGAATTGGGGTGATTAACATCCTTTGAAATGTGTGGTGGGTGCACAATTTTGAGAGCATATTAAAAATCACTGAACCAGGGGCTGAGGAGATGGCTCACTTAGAGCAGTATTTGCTGAGCAAGGATGAGATGCCCATCATCCATGCAGAAGCCAGGTTCAGTGGCAGGTGTTTGTAACCCCAGCCCTGGAGAGTGAAGACACATGGATCTCAGAGACTTGCTGACCAGCCAGCCTAGGAAACTGATCACCTCGAGGTCCAAGAAAAGACTCTCTCTCTAAATAAATAAGTCAATAAAAAATAAGAAAGAGAGTGACAGAGGAAGGCATTTGAAGTCAACCTTTAGTTTCTATAGGTACATATGGATGTACAACACACACACACACACACTCACACTCACACACACACATGCAAGCAGACACTCACACACACAATCACTAAACTATATATATTTAAAAATGTGAGAAAAAAAAGTTCACGCACTAAGTTCTGGGAACACCAAAATGATGGATGTATTTCTTGGTCTTTTTCTCGAGTGCTGTTTCTCTTGTGACTCACCACAAGAGAAGTGTCTACAGCAGAGGCTGGCTCTATTCTGGCCAGGGAAACGTGGTATCACTCCCATCTGCCTTTAACAAAGGCCCAAGGGATGCTCTGCAGCTGCTGTGTCCCGTTTTCTTTAGAACAGCAATTCCCCAGGAGCCTTAAAGGTTTTGTTTATCCAGTAAGTATGATTTCAAATGTTCTCTCAGCCTTGAGGGCAGGATACAACTCTGTCTCAGAAATACCTTCAGTCATTAATACAGGACACAATTGACTAGTGGTTTTCTGTCTGTGGCTGGTCACTATGTACTCTGGAGCACCTTTGAGATACCCAGACCTAATTATGGACTTACTGAGATATATCAAGGGTACTTCCAAAAAGCCTTGAATCTGCAGATCCACTCTACCACACTCCCATTTCTGAATACATTTTTCTTCTGCCACATTGCAGTGTTTGCCCAAACACACACACACACACACACACACACACACACACACACGCACACTTAAGTATGAGCTAGCACAGTCTGGTGTTCAGGGAGGAGGGAGCCGTGTGCTGTAGTGCCCATGTTTAATATCTACAATTAAAGGCAAGCTACTTGGCACCAGCTGGAGACAGGAGGCGATGTTATCTTTGGACTCAGAGGCATTGCACAGTGGTCCACCTCATGCATGCAGCGTTACCACCAGCCAGTTCTTTGAGAAGCCAGCAGGATTCTGCTTTGGGGCGTTTGTGCCCATGTTCTAGACTACCCAGGTGGCCTGGGTGCACACTGGCAGTAGGGTTGGGGTCTGTTAGCATCTGCATCTTGAAGATGTCCTTCATCCTTGCTGTTCACTGAGAAGCTGCCATCTTTAGAGCCAACAGGTGTCACCAGGGGTCAAAGAAACAGTAGCTCAGATATTCTGACCAGGGGTACAGTGTTCCGGGGATCCCCAGAGGTGTAAGGTTTTGGACATTGAAACCTCCTGGGGTGCTGTGTCATTCTGTGTGGAATCTCTAGCTGGTACCTTGGGTCTTGTTATGGTCCTGACACCTGTTTCTATGACATAGGTGACGATTGACTTCATCAGGAACATTGGATTGGCACCTCCCATCCCAATCCCACGGGAGAATATTTTCACCAATTCTTGTTATTTTTCCAATCAAAGCCTAGCATCTCTAGGGTTCTAAAACACTCCTCCAACCCTGTGTCCTATGTCCTCCTTCTTCAGACCCCACTCTTGACATCCCCAATGTCCCTTCCTATTTTCCAACCTGTTTACAATCCATGTTCAGGGCTGGAGGTTGTATTAAATTGGAGCATGCTGCATATTCTGGAATGTTTCATTGTTCTGACCATGAGGAGTTAGTGTGCAAACTGTGAGAGTTATTTAGGCCCTGCAAAAAAAAAAAAAAAAAAAAAATCTACACTTAAAAATCCGTGGTCTCCTTTTGGTACAAATCAGAGTCATCCATTCCGGAAGCACCAAGGGATGCCTGTGCAGCCTGCCTGGATGATGATCCTGGCTTCAGCATGTAACTGTTCTGTATTCAATTGCAATGAGATGCCACTTAGCACACAGTGTGAATTCCTTGGTATTCTTCTTCCATGGACTTTGTGTGGTGCCTCCATGTCCCCGCATCTGGTGAGTGATGTGGTCAATCCTGCTTTACCAGCTGCTTCATAAAAGGTGCACTTAATAAACATTTTTTTTCCTGTATATTTCATTGCCTTTTTCTCCCTCCCCCAAACAGTGACCTCTCATATTAGTTTCCTGGCAGGCTCCAGGGTCACCTGTCTGCTGGTGACAGCCGCATGGGCTGTGGCAGGGGCAAGAAGGGGCGCCTGGCATTCCTCTCTGGAGTCCTAGGTGTGCTCATGTGTTTGCGGGAAGATGGGAGGATCTTGGACCAAACCCTGTGTGGGGTTTATCAAACCCACTGTGTGCTGTGGTCTAACTGGAGACTTGGGATTCTTTACTGTCGCCTGGAAGGGACCGAGTTCCCAGTGGGGAATGTGTGGAAAGCAATCTGAAAACTCATGTGTGTTTATACTCTGGGGGAGATGAAGAGGTGTTGCTAGTTCACTCTGTTATTTTCATAACTGACCCAGATACATATGCCCAGGGCCTCAGACACTCATGGCATCTATTAGGGCTGATGGCCACACATGTCACATGGCAAAGCCAGATATGATCTGGGCTCAGTGTCTTCTGAGCCAGAGGGGCGATAACAAGATGTTTGAGATTGGGACCTATCTGGGGATGCTTGCCTGCCCTGAGTACTCATTAGCAGCCTCGGGGGCAGCAGAAGTCATGTGAAAATAATCTCTTCACATGGGTGAGCCTTATGCCCAGCAAACTTGGTGCTGGCTAATTTGCCCAGGGGTCCAACTGAATTTTCTAGGTTTCAGAACCAGAGAAGGACACACAACCAACTCACGGACACACAAAGCATGGTGTTCCCTGGTGCAGCCGAAACCCTTTATTGCAGCACCCTCCTCATCCAGCAGTCACTGCTTGCTCTCTTTTGCATGAGGAGCCGGGTCACCCTCTAGGGGACTGGCGCTGGTTTGTGGTATTACAGTACATGAGAACGCAAAGCCTTGCGGTAGCTGCCTTTTAACAAAACATCTCCCCTCAGGCAGGCTCGCAGGGGATTGTGGTGGGCTGAGCAGAGCAAGGGGGCCTGTGTTTGCAAACCGGGCTGTCATTTCCTTCTGGCTCCCCTGTCCTGTGTGTTCCCGTCTTGAGGTGAAATTAAAAGGAACCGCAAAAGAATGAGCTCTCAGGCAGCCCACGTGGAGCAGAGCCGTGGTGCTCACCTTTCCCAAATCCCCCTGCCCAGCCTTCCCCATCGCCCAGCCTGGCGTTATCCTTCCCTCCGCAGCGCCACCTTGATGTTGCCGCAGACCTGGCCCAGGGCAATAAAGAGCGGGTTGCAGAAGGTGCGGATACACAGGGAGTAGATGTGGCTGATGCACTGGATCTCGATCAGGTAGCTCTTAATGCAGGGCACCACGGCCCAGATGTGGCAGAAGGAGATGCAGGCGAACAGGAAGCCCCAGAGCAGGGCCAGGGGCACACCCAGCAGTGTAGACAGCAGGCGGTAGCACCAGTACTTGGAGACGGTGAAAGTGGTGTAGCTCACCTTCCACACACCGTCGAAGCTGTAGGTGCCCTCGGGCTCTGCGATCACGTCTTCAAAATCTACCTGCAGGAGCCAGAAGGGGACAGCTCAACTCACAGCCTATGTGGGCTTTTCTAGTGTTCACATACCTGCATCAGACACCCTGGGAGGGAAGCCAGAGAGACGGTTTAGCAGCTAAGAGCACCTGCTGCTCTTACAGAAGACCTGGGTTTGGTTCCCAGCATCCATAAACTGGCTCACAATCACCCATAACTCCAGTTCCAGGAGATCCGACACCCTCTTCTGAATTTCACATGCCCCAGGCACATAGTGTGTGTGTGTGTGTATACATATATATGTATATATGTATATATATGTATGTGTGTGTATACACACAGGCAAAATATTCATACACATAACTAAAATAAAACTAAACAGATTAAACAAATAACTCTAGGGGTGTCTGTTGAGCTTCAGTAGGTCTTGGTGAGGTCTGGGACTATATCTCTAATGATTGCCCAATATGGATGATAACAGTGGTTCCCAGCCCTGCTAACTTGCCACATACTATAGCAACAATGTACTCTGAAGCCTGTCCAGCCTCCTCATCCTATGCTTGGGTAAAAGCGTGCTCAGAAGCAGAATAGCTCGTTTAATAAGGCAGGGCTAGAGTCACAGGGCCTGCTCTAGTTTGGATCTGCAGTGGTCCCCAAAGGCTTGGTCACCAAGATGGTACTACTGTGAGATGGTAGAACCTTTAAGAAGTGGGATCTAGAGCGGGGGGTGGGGGGGGTGGGGTGTCAGGGCATTTGAAATGTGCCCTGGAGGGCACACTGGGAGCTCTGGTCTTCTTCATTGTTCTTACTCCCTGGCCATCAGGAACAGTTTGGCTTCAC